CTCTCTCCCTCCCCCTCTCTCTCCCTCTCTCTCTCCCTCTCTCTCTCCCTCTCCCTCTCCCGTAGCAGCCTCGGGCCATCAACACTGCACCTCATGCTTGCGGCCATTCAGGGTTCAGGCTCCTTGCAGTTCGTGGAAAGTGGAGGGATAGAGACGCTGAGAGGCAGGGGCCATCGCCGATATGCTGGAGCAGCGAGCCAAGTTCCCGACATGACGAAAAAGATGGTTTTGCCCATCGGCACCTGTGCCGTTGCACCGAGAGCTTCTCAGGTTAGCATCTCCGGAAGGCCTGCAGTTGCTGGTGCAGCGGCCACCTCCTCGGCGCCTTCGCCTTTCCGCGAAAGCGCTCGCTCCACACACGCAGGCCTGCATAAACGGAGTGGAGACCCCCGTGAAAGTTTGGCCCCCCCCCGCTTCGATGCTTCTCGCGGCAGGAGCTATCTCTCATCACGTCCCTGCCTTCTGGCGCCGCTGCCTCACTGACCGTCCTGTTTTTAGGAACGCCTAGCGGGCCTAACGAATTTGCTGGGCATCCGACGTCAACGTGAGATTCTGCAAGCTAACCTCAAGAATCGCTCGAAAAGCCAAGGTCTCGCTCTACGCTACTCGAGACCTGGGCGCCAGCGGGGCAGAGCTAAGGCGCTAAAGTAAGAGTTCCAAGTGGCTGGGCAGTTTTGAGGCCACAATCTCAGTGCCTCACTGCCGGAGCTTGGTAGCTGCCCAGCAGCAGTTTTGAGCACCTACCAGAAGCAGAATCTTTCCTGTGTAGACCAAAGCAGTGTCCGACTTCGTTTACAGGGATCTCGGGGGGGGGGCATACCAGTAGCAGGCATGAGGTCAACCCCAACTCTTGTCACCGCACCAGCACTCCCAGCGCCGACATCCTGATCGTCGTGGTGCTTTTGACAACCGAATCTCAACAACGTGCCTGCGTGGTCAGCGTTCGTCATCCAGAGCTTCTCATCTCCAAAGGAACTAACCCTGGGCCATGAACCGGAAGCCCTGAACCCCAAAGAAGAGCAATGCACCAAGCAGTAAAGCGCAGGTGCCACGACCGCATCGTCGCTGTCGCAGGCACTCGGGGGAGCGCCCCAGAACTACGGACCGTGCTGGAGGAGGCTTTGAGAGGCCTACTCCCGTGTTTATTCCGCGCCGTGCACGCTTCCTTGCATGCATGCACGTCATATTTTCGCATGTGCGTTTTTGCATGATTTGCATGCCCAGTTGTACCCCATTGGTCTACATCATGTTCGCACATAACCTGCTGCTGTAAACCTGTAAATGCACATGCGTAATTACAGTGCATGCACATGTACATACATCATGGGCATGCTATACAGACACACCAGAGTAGTCACAAGCACATTAAATGGGGTAAATGCGGTTCACGCTGGCAGGGGCTCCTGGATAGGGCTTGGAAGCTCGAAGGGTCAGCAGGGCAGGCAATTTTTGCTCAAGCACCTGGCCCGCTCTCCAGCTGAAGCCTTAAGCTATGGGCAACTGCACGTGCAGCGGCGATGGCGGACAACAGAGTGAGATGGTCGTGTCCAGCAAGAACCGCATGCATATGCGAAAAATCCAGCTGCCGCGTGTATCCACAGGCGCGCTGCCTCAGCTGCCGGACCTCAAAGGGACCGCCAAGGCCCCTGCGACAGAGGGAGGCCTCTACGAAGATCCGGAGTTTCCACCAACGGATGCAAGCTTGGGTGGCATCACCGGAGACCAGGCGAACCCGCAGGTCTCAGAATACCTGGCTGCTCGGTTTTGATTCCTTTTCTTGCCTCGGTTCAGTGCCTTGCACAAGGCGCCGCATATATTTGGAGAGCGGCTTTTTTTAGGGACTTCTTTGGGGGGTTTCATCTCTCTGTGTCCGAGGTGGAGATGATGAAGCTCGTGGTGCCGGGCTGGGCGCGACCGCGCCAGATGGTCGGGAAGCAAGCGAGCAAGTACAAGCTTTTTGCGACGGAGGGCGAGCCCTGCCTTTTCAAGCACGTGTCACCCAGGGACATCGAGCAGGGCCACCTGGCACAGCTGGCCAGTTGTCGTGTCCGAAGCCGTTTGACTGGTTCCTTTCTCTTGTGCTCTTGATGCAGCAACTTCTGTCGGAGTTGCACCGGCATGAATGCAGATGAGGGGATCTTTTGAGCAGGCGAAGGAGGGCTGCGGGCACACATCTGAAGCAAGCGAGAGGTAAGGAGGCTATGTTTCTTTCGCCTTCAACATTAGGCGTCGTTGCAAGCTGCAAGACAGGAACCAGCATGTAGCCCGATTTTTGACCTTTCTTCAGGTTACCTTGGGGACTGCTGGCTTGTGTCCTCCTTTGCTGCCATTGCTGAGTATCCCGACCGCGTCCGGTCGCTCTTCAAGCAGCACGAACTCACAGCGGATGGACGATATGATATCCGCCTCTACGACCCGCTCGCAGAAGAGTGGCAGGTCGTCACAATCGACGATCGCTTGCCATACTGGCAAAGGCCTGGCAAACATGGCACGCTGTGCTTTGCCAAGCCAACGAAGGAGAACGAGTTTTGGACTTGCTTGCTCGAGAAAGCCGTTGCCAAGTTTGTCAAGTCTTATCACAGGATCGACGGTGGCTTTGAGGCTGTGGCATTGGAGATGTTGACAGGCCTGGGGGGAGCCTAAATCATGTGGCATGCATAGAACATGTCTTGAACTGATCAGCCGAGACGGATCCTGTCCCGGATCACAGGCAAGCCATCTCTCAACATTCAGGTGAGCAATCTGGAGACCGAAATGCACTCACCCTACGTGCCTTGGCTTGGACAAGTGCAGGAAGTCAGGAACACAAAACTTATGGCGGTCCTCCCAGTTCTCCAACTGTTTTCAACTGCGCCCCCTGCAGGAGTTTCATGGCTTAGGGAGTGCTTGCACTTAGGTTCTTCTCTGTGGAAAGGAAGAAGGCTCGGCCAAGCATGCGACAGAGACTCTGCAAAGGTTTTAGCCTTTCCTCAAGGTTTCTGCGGAAGTCCTTGAAGTGTGACAGCAGCATGCGAAGACTGTCTTTGGCATTTCAGGTTCATATGCGCTTGCAGAGCTACGACGCGGGCTGGGGCTTCTGGGGCCAAGATGCCTCTGTCATGTGCGAGGGCCAGGTAGAATCTGGGCTTCGCATCAAGTTGTGGTCGTGACCCGAAAGGGCAAAAAAACGAGCAATGCTCTTCAACTGCTTTTTTTTGCGGCCGAGGAGCTCTCGGACGATTGGCTTTGGGGCAAGCTTTGTGCCTGGAACGGCGAAGGCTACAGCCTCTGCAGGGCACCCAGGTACTGGGCACCAGAACGAGTTGCACTAGCGCTGTGTACTAGGATGTGTACTTTCCCCTGTGCCGTGATTCCAAGACCTGCCAGGCACGCAGGCCACCGCTTCCGCTGCCTATAGGGGCCCGAAAAAGGACATAAGCATGAGGAGTTTACAAGGACATCCCTGCCTCCTTAGAGGATTTGTACGGGATATCTCTATCCTGCGTTCTGCATGTGTGCTTCTTTGGGGCCCTAACAACAGTTTCTGAGAGGAAGACCATATTATTCGGGACTTCTTTTTCGGACCCTGAGGCTGTGGGAGCCGCCAGGAGTACAAGGCGGGGTTGCACTGGCCGTGCCGGGGCTTCTCTGTGGGGATGCAGATCCGGGCCTGAGCGATGTTGGGTTTACTGCTCAACTGCTCAACTCCCCTTGTCATTTGCCGAAACCTAAACCTCGGCGGGGCATCGTCGAGTGGTTGTTGCTCTCCCTTCTTGCACTGCTCGATGTCCCTGTCATGAAACCTGGCTGCTTCAGCTCCATGTTCTTCACAATGCTAGGCTCGGCCCAGCCGTGAGAAATGGAGGGGAAGGGAAATGCCGAGGGAAGGGTGCGAAATGCCACAAGTCATCGTCGCTCGAAAGCAAATCCGTGCTACACGATTGCAGTAGACACCGACCAAAGCTAGGTCAGACTGCCTTGCGATTCCTTCAATACCATAGAACTTGGGAAATTCGGGGAGTCTCAACTCCGCCTTTTGCCAGGGTATCCTTGAGGGGCATGCCTACACGCTTCTCCGCCTGGTGGAGGCCACGCAGGGTCCAACCTACCAGCTTGAAGCATAGCATGACTGATCTTCGGTCGTGACAGCGCAGAGATGAGCTGAAATTCTTCGTGCTAACCTCCCTTTTGCATGCATGGAGAAACGAAGCACAACACAGAGTTACCTCCCGAGGCTCGGTGCGTTTTGTCCCAAAGGGGATGCCAGGGAGGCACTTCGTCAAACTTCAATGAGTTCTCGCGACAACATCACCTTCTGGAACCTGGCACTTCTAAGAGCTAGAAGCTCAGCCCGGTTTGGCAGGTTCCCATTGAAAGAGACGGAAAATCATCGGTGCTGCGCCTGCTTCATGTCACCTGGTTGCACACAGTCTCGGGTCTCGGTGCAGTGCGGCCTTGTGGCTTCAACTTTGGTGAGATGCGCATAGAGGTTCGCAGCTCATGGTGCAAGTTCCCTGTCAATACATGAAGTTGCTGTTCGACAAAGACGCCCCCTTCCCCGCCCTTCCAGAATTTTCCGAGCTTGCGCCGGCCATTTAGGCAGCAAGCGGTGGTAACATCGTAAGAGGTGATTTGTTTGCGATCACTCGCATGTTTGGAAGCATTTGTTTTCCGGTTTCGTCCTTCATCCTTGTAATTCGTTTGTTCTGTGTTGTTCTTGCAAGTAATCTCGCTTATTTCATTGGTTACAAACGCTGCACAGGGTGCCTCAGCAAGCTTGCCAGATGCGAAGATTTCAATTTGGACATTCGGGCTTATCCTTTACCAAGCAAGAGTACTGCACCATTTTTGTGAGACTTGAGTTACACCTTCGAACCTCCTGCCGAGTTTGCCACACCTCGAAGGAACACACGTTATTGACCGTTATTGCAAACCAGTTGTGCTGCATGGGTTGAAGACAGAAAGCAAGCGTCCTCTTTGGGCAAGCTGGCATGATTGGCCGGCTGTAAAGCGGCATCCCACACAGTTCAGCGAGTAATCTCGGCTCTAGACTGACTCAAGTGAAGTCCCTCTCAAAAGCGCCTCGGCTTCACAAGGTCCGGAATCCTCATCACACCAACGAGTGGTTCGGGAAATTCCACGATGACGACTGGGAGACCTGGAATGCATATCCCGAGGTGCGCCTGCTTGGCTTCTCTTCTTGACCCTTACTAAACTTGGGCTCACCTCTCTCTTTCGCCTCCGATCGCGAGGCTCTCAAGGCGACTGGACACAAAGTTGGAATCAAGGACAGCAAGTGGAAAGCCTCACAGTGTGCTAGGCTTCCCGGACTGTGTTCCTAAGCAGACATCCTCCTTCGCAGGCTTTCCTGGTTCTTGCTCTTCGGTCCTGTTTGTAGGGCTTGGGGGGCTTAACCCTCGAACACACTGCGTTTTCCTGGGCAATGGAAGCCGGATTAACCGGTACTTCGGCAGGACAACGGGGTTTTCTGGATGCCCTGGGACGAGTTCAAAGGAGGCTTTGCAGACATTGCAGTGAACTTCGACAAGACACTCCGCTGTGTTCATAAGGGTGAGTGCTGTTTTCGAGAGCTTCTGCACTTTAGAGACCTCGCTCTAGTCAAACCACCTCGAAGACTCCCTTCAGAGTCAAGAAGACTCCTAGAACCCCACACTACAATATACTACAACCTAAACCCTAAAACTGTGGAGCAAACCATAACGCAGATGGTGGAGCCTGCACTTTTTCGGTTTGATCCTAGAGACGCCGACATCCGACCGGACACGCCCTGCGTCTTGCTGCGAGCCCGACGATTGAACGGTCAGTAGCCCTCCAAACCCGTTTAAACGATTAAAAGAAGCGAGTAGTAGGACATCGTGGAAGATCTGGTACTTAGTTCCTCGCCCCTCTCGGATCCTAGGAAGGACGAAGGCCGTCGCTACACCGACGAGACCAAAGAAGCGGCAGCGGAGCATCAGACGCTCGAAAACCCTTCGTAGTTGAAGTTCCTACTCGGCTCTTAGGGTTACGAGGGCTACGAGGTTTGGGATTTCTGACGGGCGTCCTGCCAGGGGGGAACTTCACTTCTGAACAAGAGGCGACTTGTGCGCTTCGGGCACCTGGACTAAGGAAAGTGGCTTGGGGCCAAGTCGGCTACCAGCAACTTGGCAAGGGTTTCGACGAAGCTCAACAAAATCGAAACACTGGAGACCAAGGAAGTGGCTGGGGCTTTGATGCTCGTGGCAGACCTTGTCATCAAGCCAGAAAGGGTGATGCAAGGGATTGGGGAGGTTCTGCAGTCTCTCGACGAGTTGCGTGCCGTTCATTCGAGAGCAGTTTTAGTCATCGCACATGGTATGTGTGGGCCGGCCCCTGCTCCTGAAGGGAAGCACATGGGCGTCCCTGACATATTGTGTCTTGAAAGATGCTTCAGCAAGGACAACAAGCTCTTTGCGAGTGGACTGGGTGGATTCATGGAATGTTGTCCACCTGGGAGAGATAGACCTGAGTTCGCCGCTCCGCAAAAGCGCACTGCACGCTGCACATGTCCTAGATCCGAATTGGAGTTCGTTCACAGCTCGGTTGCAGTCTTAGAATTTGCAAAAGATAGGTGTGAACCGCGGTGGGTCCGGAATTCAGGCTATGGGTGCTGCAACTTCACCACGGAGTTTCGCAAGCAGTCGCTCCACAACTGCTAGAGTCTGCTAGAGCCTTGCGAAAGCCCCTCCAGCTCGGCTGCCGTGGCCCATCAGGCGAGGAGCCTTTCTACATCTCTGTGGTTCGCCCAGGCATTGAAGGCTCTGACTTGAGCTAGCCAAGGCCGAAAAGTCACACCTTTCGAAGTTCTTCCAGCTGGCTGCTTGCACAGCTTTGTCGGGGTGCGGGTCATGGTTATGAAACGCAGAACGGGCACTTGAGTTCGTACTCTTCCGCCGCGTGCGTGGTCCTCATCTGGATGTTGGTGCGCAGCTCATTGCTGGGCTTTAATTCGGTACGCTGAGTAGGCATCAGTTAGCTGGCCAAGCTGGCACACCGGCACACCCAGAAGAGTGTCACCTTCAAACAGTCAAGGGCGTAGCAAAAATTAGAACACGGTTTGGGACTGCAGCCATAATATGAGCTCAGTTGTACTTGCAGACTGAAGTAGCCTGAGGCAGCTATCTATGGCTGATTATGGCTGGCTGGTTACAAGCATATTTAGGCGCTTGACCGGCGGCCATGAAGCGGCGGGTGAATAATTTGGCATCCACCACCACTACAAAGAAGAGCCTCGGCGGCATTCCAACCGTTGTGTGAAGTACACAGGAGCCTCTTCTTGGTGAGGTCTTGTCGATAGCGTGATAGCAGCGCCAAGAAGTGGCGACCTAAAGTATTCTTCACCTTGAGCCGTTTTCTCGATCACTCACTTTCCTCAACGGACCTGGGACTGCTCTGTGCTATCCAATCCTACCAAAAAAGCTTTGGATACGTCACCCGATAGCAGCGCTCATCATCTTGGGAAACTTCCGAATCGAGAGCTCAGGCGTCGCGACTGGAAGGAAGCCGAGGAGGAGGAAGAGCTTTGGGTGTTTGTGGGCTGGGGGCGCCATGCGCATGGTCCAGAGCAGGCAACAGGCTTACAGGCGTGAGGCACTGGGGCTTTTGCACCGTGGCCTGGTCTGACGGAAAAGCCTAGGCATAGCTGACAGCAGGTGGACAACTGTTGCAGTGGCTGCCTTGGTGAAAACACACAAACGCCTCAGGTAATGTCGATTCCAGGCTGTGGGAAGTCCTTGAGCCCCAACTTTCCCAGATTGCGAAGAGTATCCTCGACCTACTGCCCAGCCAGTGGGATTGTTTCAGCTACACCGATCCCTCCTGAAACTCAGGCTCCGTCCCGTGAGGGCATGGGCATGCACTTTCTCGGTGAGTGGTGGCCTGTGAAGCCGGGGCTCTTTTGTGAGGACGTCGGCGACACCGGAACCGGGCCACTGCCTGACAGCGACGAGGAGGCCAAGACCGAGGCCAAGCCAGAGGCGCGCGCGTCCCACCGGCCCCCCTTCTTTACACGGCTTCTAGGGTGAAAAGGTCGGTGGTATCATCATCCTGGCTTCGCCGTGACCGTACCGTAAGCAGTAGACAGATGTGGTGCGATCTTTTGTGTCACACTGTCGAAATCTGTCGAAGCATCCAGAAATCTTCAGTAGACAGCTTCGCACCATCGCTATTCACTACTGCTACATATGTGCCTGTCTTCTCTGCAGAAAGAGGACTCTATGGCTTGCTTCTTTCCAATTGTTGGGGTCGTAATCCCCAGCCAAGAGCCCTTGCCCGTACGATCGAGGCTTGAGCGGTGTCTGCCAGAGCTTGTAACATCTGGGCCCGAGGATGGTACCATGCAGCATCGGAGACGGTGTGCTGAGCAATGTGATGCAAATTCTTCAGTGGTGAGTTAAGGAGTACTTGGTTGAACTGCGTGAGCTAAATAAGACAACGCTTTTCAACTCCACAAGTGCCAATTTGCTGAACACGCAATGAACACCCAAACCCGGACCTTATTCCTCCCATTGCCACAGGTGAAGACAGCTGCAAAAGTTACGACAGGCAAGCTTGTTTGGTTTTTCACAGATCGCTTGATGGCAGCAGTTGGAGCGAGCATAAGACTTTTGAGCAGAGCAGACTCAGTCTTGAGCCGGCAGCGGGAAACACTATGTGTGCTGCAGGTGTGCCGAACCCGGTTGTGTGGTTCGATGTGTCAGTTACTTGGAAGCAGAGAATGGGCTGGCGCAGATCATCTGTAGTACCAGCCCTTTTCTTCAGTCCATTGCATCATGGTGTCGAACAACTGAACAACCTTTAAAAGCTGGCGAATGTTCCTTGCCGAGGTAGCTGACAAGCCGCGCGGCCGCTTGCACTTTGACACCTGGGTGCAAATAGCATGCGTGTTGCCTACTTGGAATTCCCGTCAAGCTTCAACACAACTGCTCGGCTTTAGCAATTTGCTCTTTATGCTGGCAGTGAGGAACTTTTTCGAGACCTGCTGCCTGTGGCCTCAGAGAACTTCCGGAAGCTTTGCGCCGGCCATGTTAACGATTCTCTCCTGCAGCCAAGCAAGCGTGATACTGTTAATTGGCCTGGTGCAGATGGTGACAAATTGTCGATAGCAGTCAGCGCAAGCTGAGGACAGCGGGGAGAAGGTCAGCTATGCGCCCTGGCTCCGGCTCGTTTCGGCCGGCAGCTTGCTTCTGCATGGGGAGTCTAACTGAGGCGAAGACCTTTCTCGACCTCGTGCATACCAAGACTTTCGCCACCGGCGGTGACATCGACGAGACTCAGCAAAAGATGTGCTCAAGCCGCTTAAAGCGCGCCCAAGCCCGGTGCTTTGCTGCGGTCGCGTCTGGGCTCAGTCTTCAGGCCAGCGTCCAGCTCGAAGCGATCGAGCAAAGCGGCCCTCTGAGGCATGCCAAGGCCTCGCCTTGAAACACCGGGCTGATCCCCTCATCCCGATTCGTAAGAAACTGTTCTCATGCTGTGCGCACAGGCCGGGCTGTTAACAATGGCAACCGGCAACGTGAGCTCGTTCGACCCCCGCTTTCAGATCACGCTCGGTGCCTTGATCGACACACCTTTGACCCACATATGGGGCCCCTTATGGCTTCGAGCTGAGTCGGTGCCGGCAGGTGCTGCGCCGAACCTGGACGGTGCCTTCTCTCGATGGAAAGAAGCCTCCACCGCGTTGCTTTTTTTTCGGTGTGTGTCTTCCCAGGCAAGCAAGTCGTCTTCGGGCAGCTGCTGGCATCACCAGGCTCGGCCTCGGCCTCGGCCTCGCCGTCCCTGGGGCGCTTGCTTTGAAAGCGCACGGACAGGAGCGGCGCTGCATCCGCTTCACTGGATTGAGGCCGGTCTGCTCACTACGATATACTAGTAGGCTTCCACAGGCACAGGCAAGGCAAAGTTCAGGCTGGAGAAGGTCAAAGCACGACACTGGCCCTACTCAGCTCGATAGTTCTGCGCTCGCTTTTTGGCCTACTCGACTGGACTGCTTGTGATTCCACCTTCCGCGAGGCTGTGAGCACGTCTACCGGCACACCCAGTGCTTTGGCGTGATGGATGTCAGACCAGCAGAAACTGTGCAGGTTATCCAGTGGACTTCGGGGCTGTTGCTGTGCGATGTTGCTGCTGTATTGAAAATGTTGGTGGTCCTTGCGACGCTGCACCTCGCCGAATTTCCAGGAGAGGAGGTGCAAATCGAAGCCTGCGGCGAATGCACGACCGAGGAGTGCCAGGCCAGTGCAGGGAAGTCGGGCTTCGCTCTGCTCTCTCGTGATCGAGCACAGCTGACAAGGTTCTGCTGGGAGCGATGGTAATGGCAGCCCAGGCAGGCTCCGGTTGACCTTGGATCCACTCTAAACTGAAACCCTGAATGGCCTACAGTACTGGTCCAGAGCATTGAGCCGTTTGAACAGGGGCTGCTTAGGTGGGTGTCACTTCTTGCTGCTTTCTGCTCGCAGCACTTCTGCCGTGCCTCACTGCAATGAGGCCCGACTTGCCATATCGCCAGGTGGATCGGACCTCCGAGAGCCAAGCGGATCGCTATGGTCGGACAGGCACACACCCGATGGTCTAAGCACTGGAAACCTGCGAAGGATTGTGATCTAGCAACCAAGAAGTCCACGTCGGCCCCGATCTCGGCGTTTGCTTTGGCTTTCGCAGGCCACACGCATGGTGAACTGGAGGATGTTCCGTTCTCAGAAAAGCCACGAAAATTCAGACATATTTACTTACACACAAGCCGTTTTCGAGTGTGTCTTTGAGCTCCGGAGTGTAAGGCTGTCACGAACGAGAACTTATCCCAAGTTCTGGAACTCACAGAAGCTTGGAGCGCACTGCCGACATGGATGGAGGTTCACATGTTTTTGGCGATATCTGCTTATGCGAGGTAGGTCAGTGTGTCCTTTGAGCTGACCAAAGGAGGACCTGCTGGGGCATCTCGAGTGGGCCTCCAAGCGCACTATGTCTGACAGTGAGCGCGATCGATGCTCGGCAAAGGGGTTGTCGGCTAACCCTCAAGTTGCCGAGAGCACCCCGAAACCTTGGAACTTGTGACTCCAGCAGGGATTGGGCATGGGGCACCGGAACCATGCATGGACACGCTGACAACATGTCCCTGAAGTCACATAGTTTGCCCAGGAAAAGCTGGCCAGCTCGAAGTCAAGTTAAAGCACCTCGATCGAGACAGCAGGCTTGTGCATCAACTGCTTGGAACTGGAGCAAACCTTGTTTCCGTAAGCTTACGCAAGAGTGTACGAGCACGTACGTCATCGTGAGGTTGCGTGTCACATCCCAGGTCGCTGATGGGCGCCTTGCGCAAAGTGGCTTTCAAAGCAGGTGCACGCTTTTTGCGTATCTTGTCCCTGCAGGTGGTTTCGCTGTTGCTGTTGCAGGAGAGTTCAATGGCTTTGAGAACAAGCTCGCCCTGGATTCTAAAGGTCAACTTGGCCGCGCAAAGGATTTGGAGACTTGGTCGCATATCTTCGGTGGACAGGCAAGATGGCGAAATGGTTATGCTTGCTATGCATGGATTCAACCAAGGAAGAATCATTGCTCCGCGTCTACTAGTTGACGGACCCTGTCAAACTACCGCCGAAAATCATAGCACGACAGTAGGCTCCACGAAGGGCATCAGTTCTCACGAAACCGACTTGGGGCATGTAAGCAGCAGGTTGCTGCTGCTGCTAGTACTACTGCGGCTACCACTTTTGCTGCTGCTACTGCTACTACTGCTACTGCTACTGCTACTACTACTACTACTACTATTACTACTGCTACTACTACTACTACGATAACGATTACTATAGGTGGAAAATGCATCACACGAAATTCTATATTTCTGGTACAAAATATTTTGATTGGCTTTGATACTCTTTTCAATGACAGGAATTGCTGACATTCATTGTTGTTGAAAACGAATGTAAGATTTTTCTTTGATAAAATTTGATATTCGAATAACGAATCTCTCCATGGTAATATATGTTATTCTGGTAATTCGTTTGAAGAAAATGATATTATATATATATATAGTGAGGCGTTTGGTATTCTCTCCTTTTTAATTATTGGTCTGGCAGTGGTGGGGGGCTGGGGTATGCAAAGCGGGGTCGGGGGCGGATGCATGGGGCATTGTAGGGAGGCGGTTAGTAGCACAGGGATTGCTCAAGCCTTATATACAGCCATTATTCTTATTTATTTGTTACGTCCAAGTAAGTTTTAAGCTTGAAGTAAATTTTTTTTTTCTCGTAGATATTCTAAAGTCTTGTTAATTTGTTGACGATTTATAACCTTTTTTGTATTGAAATATACATTTTTCTATATTAACTTTAAAATTCCTCCCCCAATCTATATTGATGCGTAAAAAAAAAGAAAGAGTCATCTTTATAAAAATTGATATCTTGGATTATGACAGGAAGTGGAAGGTGTCGCGGAGTGCTTGGAAGAGAAAGGATATATTTGGTTATTTCATTATTATATTATTTTATATATTTTAATTTTGATTATAATTTTTCTTTTATTAATTTGGAAATTTATATATATATATATAATTATATAAATTCTAATTTTTCTTTTATTTCTCATTATATTTTTTTGAGTTTTCTGGTTTTATCGATTTCTTTTTTTCTATATGATTTTCTTCGTTTATTAATGAATTTTTTTTATATTTTGGCGTTATTTTTTATAGCTTTGATCATGGTAATTTCGTTATTTGATGGGTTTTAAGAGAAATTTTTTTTATTATTTTCTCGCGAAATTATGAATTTCGTGATCGGAATTTTTTGTATTTTTCGATTTATAAGATATTAGGTATTTCTTTAAAAATCTTTTTTTCTGAATTTCATAAATCGAATAGAATATATCTTTCTGTCTGTCTATTTCTCTCTCTGTTTTCGTATATCTAAATGTATATATTATTTGTATATTGACTTTTCTTTGATTTAATTTGATGATTTGTTATTTTCTTTTCGATTGTTGTTAATTGGAGAAGTAATGCGAGAATGAGATTGGGAGACGTATTGTTATTAGATTTTCGATTCGGATATATTCGTTTTAAATCGATATATTGTTATGATTTTTTGTTTATTTGGCTATTCTCTTATCTGTAGAAATTGAAATACTCTGAAAATATTTTTTTAATTCGTATTATATTTATTACGATTATTTGGAAGATAATAAAATAACAGAATATAAAAATTGAATAATTTATATGTCTGCCGTTTGTGAATTTGTCCATGTCTCTGATGTATTTGTCGTCTATTTATCTCTATGTCTATATATTTGTGTTTGTTTCTGGTCGTCTATTTGTCTGTAGTCTATGTCTATTTATTTGTATTTGTTCGCATATCTTTTTATATCGATCGGTCTGTCTCTTTTTGAAATTTGATGACAATAATTGACGAATATATGGCAATGAATTTGATTTCTATTTTAATTTATTGATAACAGCCAATATGGAAAGAGCCATGATTTTTTTTATATAATCTGAAAATTATATAATTGGTAACCGAAAGAAATGATGTATAAATATAAAAATATTACAAAAAAGGTTCCATTATATTGAATCGTTTCTTGAAAGAAAAGAAATGGGCGAGAATCGTGGACGATGATTATAAATCAAAAATTATGAATATTTCAAAAGATATTGTAGCGCCGTTTCTTCGATATTCAAAATATTACGATACGTGTCTCGTTTTGTACTGACCATATATATATATATATATTTCTATAAAAATTCAAACATTGAATATGTTTAATATTTTGATATATATTTCATAATAATCCAATTTAAAATATGTCTATTTTGCTTTAATTAACAATATAAAAAATATATTTCTGCTATTTTTCATATTTCAATTTTTAAATAGATGTTGCAAAAAATTATTCTACTTCAATATGCATATCTGTGTACAAAGAAAAATATATAATGATTTTTGATTGACTTTGATATTTTGCAACGACAGGAATTGCTGATATTTATTGTTGTTAAAAATGAATGTAAGATTTTTCTTTGACAAAATTTGATATTCGATTAACGAGTGTCGAGGGTTGTCGTGGGCGCAGCGGGATCGGACAGATGCGTGCGGCATTGTTGGAAGTTTCAAGATTTTTTTTCTTGATTCTGAATGTTTGATCTTACTTGTTCCACCTAATTTCGTTTTCTGCTTGAAGTGAATACTTTTTTGATTTTTTTTCGTGTTGACGATCCGCAACTTTTGAATTTTGAAATATGCATTTTTCCACGTCAAATTCAATATTCCTACTACAAATTTGCATTGATGAAAACATCCAATGTCATTTTCCTAAGAACGGATGTCTTGGAGCATGGGAGGAAGGGGACGACGCCGCGGAATGATTGACGAAAGAGAATAATTAGTCATTTCATTATTGTGCTCTATTATATTTTCTTCAAGTTACATTTTGTGTTATCAATTTGGAACCTTCTTCACATTGTTATTTAGATTCCTTAATTTAATTTGTTTGAGTTTTCTGGTTTTATTGATCCGTGTACTTTCTTGGTGTATTCATGAATTTGTATGGCTACACTTTGGTGTCTTTACTCATACGATGCCGGTAATTTCTTTGCTTCTTGGACAAACCGCGGGAGTACCAAATCAAATTTGAGAAACAGGGCCAGAATGAAGAGGGCTGGCGTGTGCGACGCGGGGTCGGGAACGGATGCATGGGGCATTGTTAGGATATTATGGAAAGTTTAGGAACGGCTCAAGCTTCATACGCAGCCAAAAATCTTATTTTTTCTTAACTTATTTTTGTTTTATACTTGATTTTGTATAGTTTTATTGAACTAGTCTGTCTAATCGTTTTGTATTTTGAAGTTATTTTTTTTAATTTTTTTTTTGTTCGCGAAATTCCACTTCAAATTCATATTGATGCTCCAACAAAAACACTCTTTGTGTCATTTTGCAGTTGTCTTGGGGTTTTTTTTCGCAAGGGTGGGAGGGGGGGGAAAGCCGCGAAATGCATTGAAAATCAATTTTCTTGATTTCATGATTGTACCTCACTAGATTCTTGAATATCCTGCACAATAGCTTTTCCCTTACCGAAGGTGCAATTGTTTTTTCTGTCGAAAAAATGTTTAGCAATGTTATAGTCAGTTTTTTGGGGTGATGAGACTTTGGGAGTTTGGTTAGTTTTTTCTGGGTAAAACTGTTCTCCATATCTTTTGTTTTCGTTTTCTCGTTAATTCATGATTTTTTGTTTTTTGGTGTCTTTGTCATCGGCTCGGAGGGATACTTCCTCAGTTGGTGGGTTTCAACAGAAACTTCATGTTTGTTTGTCTTGCCGTGCAACGAAATAAATGTCTGAATCTTTCAAATTTTGGCCAGAAACATTCGTGGCTGTGGATTTCTTGATCGGCACTTTTTGACCATCCTAATCTCTGTCCCTAATTGTGTCACACGATTGTTGTGTGTGTGTGTGTGTGTGTGTGTGTGTGGCTACTTCCACTGCACAAAACCAACATATTCACAAACACAAACAAACAAGACCATTGCCAAGTAGAATTCCACAAACAACCAATCGCAAATTTGTCAAGGACAGGCACATACACAGACAGACCACACAGCAGAAAACAAGCAAACAAGCAGACACGGACAAAAATCCGAAAAAACATGGAGACAACCTTCCGGATAAGCAAACTTAAAAATAATTCATTGAAAAATTAAAAAAACTTTTCAACACAGAAAGCAGCAAAATGATTCGGAGGAGCGGCTTTGGATTTGTCGTGGAAAGATGGTCTTTGCAAACGTACAAGGTCTTCTTGGATTCATCGGAACAAGGGATTTTTCAATAAAAATCCTTGAGGACCGGAAAAAAAGCCAGAAACTTCACCACGATTGATTATCTGGGCCTATTGTGTTTGCTCGAAATTTTCAGTAATCTTCTTTGTTGGCTGCGTGCGCTTGTGCTCCTTAATTTTGCACAATGGTTTGCAGTGGGTGTTGGTTTGTTTCTGTATCGGCAAACAAACCAAGAAATTTGTATCGGAAAACACACCAAGAAATTTCCAAGATCGAGCCTATGACAAAAACGCTGTAGCAAGCACATGGAAATAAGTGCAAAAAAGTCGGAGAATAAATTGCACTACGGTTTGGTTGAAGGAAGGACATGGGCGAATCATGCGATCGACGGATGTAAATCACCACTTGCGTGTGTACCTCACCTGTGTGCGCGGGTGTAGCCCCAATTCTAGTAGAAGCCTGGCAGCAAAACTCATCAAAAAGGTAGGGAAAAACAGGTGACCTTCTCTGTAACCATGCTGTTGTCAAGAGTGCGCCTTGAGTGCTTCCAGATCGGGGAGACAAAAGAAGCATTTAGCGCACACCATTTTGCCAACTTCAGTCCTCCTAGACCAGAGACTCTGGAAGTTCACCATCCTGTGGGCGGAATACATTCAAGCACCATGAAACGCCCGCGGACAAAAAAGGGCAAATTCGATTTTTATCCTTGCCCGATAGATCAGTTTGCAAATAAGAGCTTCAGACTGAGTGACGGGGAGAGTCTTGCAACCAGCGCCCTGACATGCTTCAAAACCTTGGCTGTGAGTGTGCACA